CTTTTTTCTAAGATAAAAACTCCAGCTTATTTGTTCTTTGGTGCATCTAGCAGTGTGCGGTGAGCATTATCGTGAACCAACACCACATCAGAAGTCAGCATGCTCCGACACTTGTTATGGATGGTTCATCTGAGTTTTTGTAATGTTTCACAATAGACTTCTGAATTGATGGTTGAACCACACTCCATGAACTTCACTAGCAGTACTCCTTTGGCATCTTCACATTTGGCGGGATATTCTATGGCATCATAATGCTCACCCACACACCACTAGACACACCCAAGAACTTTTGAAGCAGTTCCATTGGGATGTTTTTGATCACTCCCCCTATAGCCTAGATCTGGCACCAAGTGACTACTACTAACAAATTTCAAACCTTGTAAGACATTATGAAAAGTGCCTCAGTTTAAATGGCAATTATGTCAAAAAGTAATGTAATGTTGTAGTTTTCTAATATGTATAATAAAAGTTCTGCATCTGAGGCTTCTGGTTTTGTGCAGCAGTGCAGCATCTGAGGGAATCGCAGGGCTCTGCACCCTATGGCCGATTTTTTTCTGTTTGGGGACCCTAAATGGGCCTACATTTGCCCCGGAGAGGCGACAAAGATTCAACAAAATGGATTATAGAGCTGTCAGGAAAACTAAGAGAACTTGAGAGACAAAAAATGAGAAGAGAAATTAAAAGAGAAAGAAAAATATTTTCAATGAATACGAAGGGGCGAAACATTCCTACAAAAACATCTTACTTGACTTGTCTCTTGTACCTGCAATAACATCTACAAGTCTATGGGAAGACCTTCTGGTCCAGCAGACCATACTTATTAGGAAAGATGTTTGGGGGAAAAAAAGGCTAAAGTTAGAATTAAGAAATTAGATGATGGGATTTATCAGATGGAATATCTAAAAATTAAACACCTGTTTGAATATGGTTAAAGAAATAGAAAAATTCTGGATATAAATGAATTTTAGTTTAAGAGGGATGGCCTTCCAGAAGGTCAGACACTAGGACAAGGACATTAGTGAAGCCCAGATATGACTGTGGTATGTATGGTGCTTTTTGTTTTTGTTTTGTTTTTTGTACTTTGGTTAAAATTTCAAGTTTAACTAATTGCATTTTGCATTGCTTTATTTTGGTTACTAGATGCCCAAACATATTTGTTGAAAATGTGTGGCAATAAAGAGTTTTAAAAAAATAAATATGAGATAAAATATCATCAGTACAGCAATTAAGAAGGAAGGAATAGACATGTATAAAATTATGCAAGAACTTCTCTGTGCTGTTAATTATCTATATAATTCAGTACTATAGCTCTTTGATGGCTACTGAGGTGGATGGCTTTAGACAGTTTTTTTTTGGGGGGGGGGTGTTTAAATCTATCAATGAAAGTATTCATAACAGCTAAATGCTATTATAATGCTAAATAATGCTAAACCCAGCAACATTATTCCTCTGAATATCAGTTTGCCACAGGATACAACATTCCTGTGCAGGATGACCCAAGTAGGAGCAAAAGTAGAGCAAAATGCGATATTTCTGCTCTGCTCTAGCACTACAAATATTAAGATATCTTTTATGATATTATTACAAAAAATTGGGATTTGGGGGGAGTACCAATCTTTCATGGATCTGAAACTCCCCCTGTTGGTATTGGCTTTGTAAATGTTTCATTTTTAAATAACTAAAACTACAGCTTTAAGTGATGTTTTTGAGATTGAAACATCAAGTGAGGCCTGTAATAATTTATTTATTTATTTCTAAAATTTATATGCCGCCCAATCCCAAGGGACTCAGGGCGGCGTACAAAATTAAAACAATAATCTAACAATAAAACAATAAAATAAATACATTCATACAGCATGTCCGATCATATCCCACCCCCCCCCCGGGGACATCAGCCCCAGGCCTGCCGGAACAGGAGAGTTTTAATGGCTTTCTTAAAGGCTGGCAGGGTGGGAGTAGTTCGAACCTCGGGGGGAAGTTGATTCCACCAGGTCGGAGCCACCACAGAAAAGGTCCTTCCCCGAGGGCCCGCCAGCCGACATTGTCTGGCCGATGGGACCTGAAGGAGGCCCAATCTATGGGACCTCACCGGTCTCTGGGAACTGTGCGGCAGTATGCGGTCCTGTAAGTAACCTGGCCCTATGCCATGAAGGGCTTTAAAGGTGATAATGGTGCAGTATTGACTATTTCTACCAATATTGATTTCACTACCAACCAGCCATGTTTTCATCCAGTATACCCTTTCCGTTACTTTATTTGAAACAGGCGGCAATTTCAGGCCCAGCAAATACACATACATGGTCCCCGCTGATGTGCTTTCCTCCTATTATAAATGAAGTTCTTATCTGGGAATATAAACATGGGTAAATTCAATATTTTGAGTTGTTTTTGTACATTAGAATCAGGAAATGGGGTTGACAAAAATGAGATGGCCAGAAATATGGTCTATGTTATGAACAATTATATGCAATAAATTATCCAGCATTGCTAGTTAAAGTACATCAATGATATTTCAATAAATCCATCAGTTACTGGTTAAACATACTGGTTTCAATTTTATATCTACATTACAACTGATACAATCTATCTGCATCTTGTCATTCAAAGTGCTGCTGAAAACAGTGCAGACGTGTTGACAGTGTCAAGACTTGGGATCCATTCATACCTACATTCAGTTTAAACTCATCTCCTGATTCCGCAAACAGTCATGGATGCTTGCCTGCTTTCAAAAGAGATCTCTTTCTTTCTGCCTTCTTCAACATAAGACAATACTGGCTTAGAACTCTGGGAATGCTATCAGATCTGGAGGATGTCAAGTGGAGGGAAAGTTACTTTACTTTAGTTACATTACCTAGTTTGGGAGAACAGCTGGTCCAGTTCCTCTGCCATAACTGCAAAGCTCTGTAGACATTGCTTTACCAATGAAATGATATGGAGACACACATGAAGACTCACTTTCTCTGAAAGTATATTCCTTCTAAGACTGTGCTGCAAATCAGATTTTGAACAGCAGGTTCCTTAAATCAGGCATTTCTCAGATTCATCTTCTTGTCATCATCCTGAATATCCAGGACAATGGTATATTCCTAGCAAGAGAGTTTTTCGCTCCCTCTTTCTCTGTTTGGATGGTACACATGGACCAATAAAGTAGCACTACATACTATGTGGAATAACTGCAGACTCAGCAGAAAAGTCAGAGCAAACAGGGAAAAAATAGTACTGTTAGAAAAGTAACCCAGTTTTCCCACTTTTCAGCTGAACTGAGAGGTTCCAGATTATTAGTACTACTTTGTATTGTGTGCTCATTTTCACCAGCTTCCACTTATATATGCCATTACACAGGCCTTGCCGCTGGCTGAGCTTATGGTTACATGATTTATGGCATTTCTAGAGTTAAGTTAAGTATTATTTAATCTTCATCATATTTTATTGGTGTTGAACTACGGTATATTTCAGTTCGCACTATAATTTTATACCTGACTGGTGATGATAAATAAATACAAGTGATACAAGTGACCAAGGAAATAAAAGTCATCAGCAGGTGGCAGTTTATAACTAGAAATAGATAGACCAGTTTTTTTACTGCATAATATTCCCCTGGAATATGATAACAGAGTAGTGGCATTGTAAAAAACCATTGTATTTCAAAGAGTGTAGTAATGTCTTTTGATTTCTCCATCATATTAAGAAGATTTTAGAAATTTAAAATTCATTCTGAAGTATGTTATAAGTTTAGCTGGCTTGTTTTTCACTCTTGATGATGAAAAAAGGATGGGATCCTCACACAGCTATAGAAAAACCTTAAGATTATTTAGGTCGGTATTGATTTATCTGTATAGTTCCCATTCCAGGATTCTGTCAGTTTGCATGATAAACAGATGCATCATGCAGTCAAAGTCAGATTCTGCAATCTCATTATCATCGAAACAGGGTTTTCATACCTTCTTTTGTTAAGACCCTAGTATTGCCTTTTGATTTTGGAGCTTCAACCCAGATTAGCACCAAGGGCCATGTAACTTGGACTTTTTGGAGTCTTGTCACTGTTGTTCCAATGGGGGTCCCAACAGCTGATTGGAGATTTGTCATCATCTTGCTTGGGTGTGTTATGTGTTTCTGTTTAAATCTGTCTGCTAAAACAGGCTCTAAGAATTCCAAATCTGCTCACCAACCAAAACAGTTCAAGATCCCTGGACCAGAAAGTTACTTCGGCATTGAGGAATATGGAAAAACCAGCTTTAGTTTTGGCTCTTCATCTCACATATTAAACATACACAGAGAGACACAGCTTCCATATCTATCCTAGTTAGGCAGTCTGCTTTGATCTTCTGTCAAGCGATAACTCACAGGCTTGCTGAAAATTATTGTCTCTTCAGGTTAAAATTTGTTCCCAATCTAGATGCTTATCGTTGTGTCTTGAGCCTGCAAATGCAGGCTCGGGACGTTGCAAGGGTCCCAGGTTTTGCTGAAGCTGCCCGGGACCAGACTGAGTGGTACCAGCTTTGCGTGCATGCACAAGGCGCGAAAAGTGCCTGACTATGTTGCCATTATGTCCAGGGATCTGGGTGTATAAAAGGAGGCCTGCGTGCCTTTGCTCGTTGTTGGAGTTTTGGCTAAAAGCACAATAAAGAGTTGTTCTGAAGAAATGTGTCTTCATCCTTCGCCTTCGTTTCGAGGACTTAACACTTATTACCAGAGCAGAGTGCTTATGTTCTGTCCCAGCCTATGACTGTCCTTGTTAAATGCACAAGGACAAAACCCCTTTTGAGAAAATAGGCTGGAGACTCAGAAGAAAACAACCCCTTTTAATATTGGTAACAAACTTGCCAAATGGTCCAAAAACAAAAGCAATAAAACACAATCCAAATGGAGGAAATTGTCCACCCGAAACACAATGCAAAACAGAGAATTAGTCACCAGCAATACCAACAGAACATGATCCCATGAAGTACTTTGCAACAGTTGCCTTCAGCAACCAGCACTGCCTACACATTCCCCTTTTGTAATTCAGTCCTCAAGGCATGGCTTCTCAATGCCTTCTCCGGAGTCACCCCATTGCCTCTCTCTGGTTTACTCTCCTAGCTTGTGTTCGTTTGCAGGCGTCTCTCATTTCCGCCAGCTGTGCATCCTCCGAGTCCGGCCCGGCCTCCGCACCCAGCTGCATCTCATCCTGAGCACGAACGGAAGGGACAGGTTCCTCACTGGAATGTAAGTCTTGGAGCTCATCAGAGCCTTCCCCCAACTCTGATGGCTCCCCAGGCCCCTTCTCCTCCTCAGATTCTCCGGACTCAGCTGTCAGGATCACAGGCTGGCACAGAATGACGACAGCTTAAGACCCTTAGTAACAAATGATGTGTGCTTATATACCTGTGGCCCAAGCCCCTAAATTCCTGGCTCCTGTGGAGTGGAATCCTTTCAGGCAGCTGAGCTGAATGCAGTGATCAGTGTTAGTATTTCTCTCAGGAAATATTTCTGTCCTTATTGAACAACATAAGAAAGTCTGATCCATCTTTTTATGGAGTTAAGTAGGGAACATAAAATATTTAATATAAATAAATTCAGTAAGGCAAGGTAAAAGTGTACAAATACTTATTTTTCCCCTCATCTTATATGCTTAGCTTTAAAATAATTGTGATAAGAAAAGTATTTTTGCATTGGATATAACCTATATATTTCTGAGTAAATATGCATAAGATTTGTTACCAACATATCAAGCATTTATTTTAAATCTGTATCTAGTGTTTAGTCATAATTTATATAAATTCACTCTCTAAATACTTTTACTAAAAGTAGCTAATACTATAAATACATGTTATTATGGAAACCGCATATTCATTTTTATTCTTTGATATGTATCCCATTACACCAATAAGAATACTTCAGCTAGTTTATACTGGTTACACGGTTTATAAAGCAGACTTTTAATACATGGATGAAAAAAAAACAAAGTTACCACGTAGAGCTTGTGGAAAAAGGCAACTCTCGCCTACATTTCCACAGACAGTCCCTCCCCCTCATAGGCACTACAGTTGACTGAAGATACTTTTTATTTCTTTTAGCTCTCTTTTTCTGCACCTTCTTTTCTCTCTTTTTTTCTTCCTTTGCCTTTTTATCCTTCATTAGTTTGTGTTAGTTTTTATATTCTTTGACAAAATTTTAATTTAAATCTTTTTTTAAAAAAAAAAAAGAAATAATCCTCTGGAATCCATCAGCATCTATCCTGTCCCCCACCAGGGACAGACCTATTTAATAGATTCTGCTTCCCTAGTGCAGGAGGCAGCACCAGAGAACCTCGTGGTCACCAAGGATCAAACTGATTTTTGTTATTCTCCCTACTCTACATTCCATTCATAAGCTTCTACACATGGGTAAGAAAATTAAATCAAGTGGTTGTAAGTTGGTGTGGGTTAGCCTAAGCAAATATGACTGATACAAAACATTTCATGAAAGGTATCTTTTTCCCCCAGTCAGTTCATCCAGTTATTTAGTTTAGCGGAGATGGGACAGGAACACACTTGTGATCTAAATTTAGAACGGCTTGACATATTTTTGATGCTCGGACTGTGGAAAAAAGGAATAGGTGAAAGAAGACAGAGTTGAAACCAAAACTGCGCTTTAAAAGGATGGTGTCTTGCAAATGCTAAAGCCATAGAGAAAGCATTAGTCCAGATAAGGTAAGAATTATATACGAATGATGACCTTGTTATTGCTAAAAAGTATAAATGTTATTGAAATTTGAAACAGAAGATGAACAAGTGAAAGAATGTATGATAAGATGGGCTAAAAACTTTGGTCTATACAAATATATACAACATATTTATATGATAATAGCAGCAGGACTTTTATCAGTACAGTGGTGGAAAGTTTTCATGCAACCTGCAATGGGAGAATGAATGGTGAAGTTGATGGAATTGGCTGAAAAGGCAAAACTGACAACTTTGATTACAGAAAAGACATTGATTAATTGTAATGCTGATTGGAAACCCCTTTTGGATTTTCTGCAGTAAAATTAAATTATAATATATAGGTTTGATAATTAGAAAAAAAATAGTAGATAACAGAAAAATTGAAAGTTCCATTGTCAACTTAGAATAAGAGGTTAATGTAAATGTATGCATATCTGTTGTAAAAGAAAATCAGGTCATTTCTTTGCATTTCTTTTTCTTTCTGCACTTTTGGCTTTGCTCTTTCATTCTTTACTTTTTTACTTTTTTCAGTCATTAATTTTTGTTAGTTTTTGATCTTTCCACTTTAAAAAAAAAATCTAATGAAGTTATCTTTAAAAAGGGCAAATAGCAGACATGAACAACAGCTCACTGCTGGCCAGGAACAATGACACTGTCAGTTCCTCCTACCACATCTGTCCACTGAAGGGGTTCTGTTGAGTCCCTGCATCCTCTCAGCTCCCAGCCTCGTTTTAAAATTCTGTTCTCAGGCCTGGCAATCCTACCAAGCCCTTGCAGTAAACAAATTGAAGTCTTTTAGATGGCAAGATGACTGTGGGTTTTCTTTCACCCCCCTTAATACAGATTTTCCATATCTCTCCAGTTCTGATGCCACATTTTGTAGAAGAAGGAAGTTAAGCCTTGAGTCAACAGAAGTTTTATTGATGAGGATAGCTGCAGTCCTTATTTAAGGGTGAAGTTAAATGATTATAGCTTTGAGCTATGAGGAAGAGGAGCTGGCTAACTAACTAACTAACTGCTGAAGAACTGGAGCCAGTTCCCTCCTGATATCGAACCTGAAGGTACATGCCACCACTATTGTATTGTCTTACAACTACTTCTTACATAATAGACAACATCTATGCCTGTGTTGTGCTTGACCAAAGGCATAGGTCAACACCTGAGTAACAAGTCAGGAGGAGGAACACTCTTTCTGGAGAATGCATCCATTATTTACAAATTTCCCTTCTACTGAGATGTTGAAGTCCTCCGAATCTTATTGTAAAGACTCAGAGACTCTGCAAAATATGCAGCTTAATTAAAACTTTGTATGAATGAAATGAAAAGGTATTTATTACAAGGAAAGTGATCTTATTTTTTTTGTAAAAATTTTTATTTTCAACTTTACAATACATAACAATCTTACAAATACTTCAGATAAAAAATAAAACAAATTGATACACGCCACATTCGGTCTTGCCCGCCCATTTCCCCCCAAACCGCATCCCACCTCAAACCAACTTACTTCTTAAGGAAAGTGATCTTATTAAAGATATTTAATTTAGTTACATCGGATTTAAAATTACATAACATTGAAACAAATGTAGTGATATTGCTGGAGAAAAAAGATATTGCAGGCCATAAAGTATCCAAACAGTTTAATGTTTCAAATCAAACACTTCATATTAGAAATCTGAAATTGCCTTAAGGGAGGAAGTGGTTCCTAATAATCTAAAATGTGTACCTGTAGATCTGAAATTGTAACATAGAGGCTGTCCATGTTTTTGAGAGATCCAAAGTTTTTATCTTTGAAGAATCATGATGATTCACATCTTCCTTATTTAAAACACTTCAGCTTCCTCCACCAGCATGCTAACTGGTTGCGCATGACTACATCCCTTAAGCTAAACAACTTTGAGTCATTTTCCCACGGTCCCGTGAATAAGCTACAAGTGAACTGGTAACTCCTTTCACATCAGTAAGCACCACTATGTTATTTTTGAACAAACTGAAAACAAAACTGATTATTCATAAGCATTCAAAATGTCTGTGTTGGTAGCCTCCCACAAAAACTTTCTATTGCCTTCATCTTCACCAGAAAAGGTGGTGCTTCCAAAATAAGCAGAACTTATTTTTGTACACTGTAGCCATGTACCCAAAAATTCCAAATCTTACCAACCTGGAAGAGGGTGAATTCTACTCAAACAGAACACTTGAGTTAATCCTGCTTGACTCCATGGGTTCAAGACATCCAACTCAATGAACTGCCATGAGACCCTTTCCCAGCTGGAAGAGTCCAGTTGTACAGTAATATTGTACAACTGTCACTTAATAAAATCATTATTTCTCGACCTCCAGTTGGATTGGGGAGGAGGAGCCAAGATGGTGGACAGGCAGCAAAGGCTGTAAAGAGCTCCTCCAAAAGTAAAAGCTTTTTTATTTTATTTTATTTTATTTTTATTTTAACTTTTTAACCCTTTTAACACTGCATTTAACCTACTTTTAACCCATTTTGACCTATTTTAACCCACTTTTGACATATTTTTAAATCTGTTTTAACCCTTGTTTGACTTTTTATAATAGTCAAAGACTTTTTATAAAGGATATATACTGGAGAGGCTACCATTGTTTTACCCACATTCAGGATTACCAAGAATGGGGAAAAGCAGAAAGACAGTGTGTTCACTCAGCAAGCACAGAGTTCTTCCAAGCCACCAAAGCATCAGAAAATGGAAGGGCTCCGGCAAGTAACTCATCTGTATGTGACTCATTGGAATGGGATTTACAAACTGAACTTGAAAACAAACAGCATATAGAACTCTCTGATTCTCTCACAGAAAATAGCTCTCCTCCCTGGAATTCAGCACCTGCTTTTCCTGCACAGAATGGGATAGTAACAAACTTAGTAAGGGAAAATTAAACAGATCTCCTTTCCAGACAACGTTTGTTCACAGCTCAAACCATAAATTCAATCTATGAACTTTTATCAATTGTCACAAATAAGGCTGACTGCTTGAAAGAGTCTTTTGCAAAGTTTATCAGCAGTCAAACAAACATTGCAGAAGGACCCAGGAGGACACATAATGATAAACATGGGATGGCTAATGCAGAAATAGAAACTAGAATAGGCCCCTCTCTCCCTTCTATAAACAAGAGAGGAAAGAATATCCACAAAGAAAACAATCAGAGAGTTCTAGAGGTGACCGTTATAACCTCAGATTACAGACCAACCAGGTTACTTTGCAAATCTACAACAACAGAAGGAATGGAGGATGTTGGAGTGATAGAAAAGCTGTTAGGCAGTCTCTGAGCCAGCTGCTCCGCTGCGAGTATACTCAAATTGATTTATTACATGCAGAGTGGTTGCCAGCAAGAAGGCAATGTATGTGAATTTTGTTATCCTTCAAACAATCCATAATTCCTTCAATGCTTTTTAGAAGCAGTTTTTCAATATTTCCAATACGTGTCTTCCGCTCAGGGAACCTGCACCCACTCCTGGTTCAGTCTCTCCATGAGGGAACTATTGCTTTAAATCCAAGCGGCAACAGACCTCATCCTGATAAGTTTGAAGCAGGGGCAGCTGAATCGACCTTGAAAAAACAGAGAAGTGATCCACAAACAGAGTTACCCACAGTCACTGATTCTGCTGACGGCTTGCCAGAAGAAATGTTGATAGACTTTAACGATGTATTGCCAGAACCTGAGCAAGTTAATAATACACAGAGACTGGATGGTTTAAAAGAAGCATTGACAACTACTCAATCTAATACAGGGATGTCAAACTGCCGGCCTGCAGGCCTGATGCATCACCTGGAAGGTACGCCCACCCCATTGCCGGCAATGGCAAAACCATCCCAATATGTTGCACGACATCACGTGATGTCGCGAGTTTGACATGTCTGATGTAATGCATCAAATAACAATTATTATAACTATCCTCCAACAAGTGCCCCTATGGAGAACTTGAACTGACTATATGAAGGCCAGTGCAAGAAAAACACTTTAAACATCATTTCATGGAATGTAGTTGGGTGGTATCGATTTAGAGGCCTTAATCACTCTGATCCTATAAAAGGTAAGGATATTATATTGATGAAGGAGACTTGGACTGTTGATGATTTCCTGCTTAATGGCTATTATTCATATAAGCTGGAAGCAAGGCCAGACAGAGGCCCAGGGAGACTGAAAGGAAGGCTGGGTATATTTATTTCTACCAATTTGAGAGCAGAGTCCACACATTTCCCCTTTAAACCATTCAGCTATGGCCCTTCTCCTCAAGTTGCTTTTGATAATTAATGTTTTTCTCCCTCCTTCATTAAGAAAAGCTGAAACCACTGCTATATGGCTGGAGTTGAAGCACTACATTAATAAACAGCTCATGGCACACCCAAATGTCAGGGTCCTACTAGGGGGAGACTTTAATGCCAGGTTGGGACCAGATAATTATACATTATTCATGAAACATCATCAATAGCCACCATCGGAGGTCCCTATACAAACCAACGCCCCACTCATACACCCCACTCTTTAAAGACATTAGAGCTAACTATGCTGGCCTCTGTCTTGCCAAGTTGGCAAATAAATTTAACTTCTTCATATCTAACGGCTCATGGCCTGGTGACTATCCTGGCGAATTTACATTTATGGCAGTGTCCAAAACTAGCACCATTGACTACATCTTAATGTCTATGGACTTAGTATATTATATAGAAAATTTTGAAGTCCTGCCTTATCTAGAAAGTGATCATCTTCCTCTGTGTATATATATATGAAGCCCTTTATCAGGCAGATACCCTCCAAGGACCATTTTATCCCTGCAATCTCTACAGCCGGCCTAACAAATGGACCCAACAACTTGATCAGAAGGTAAGAAGAGCCCTAATAGAGGATAATTTTCAAAAAATCCGCACAGCCTTTATATCAGCCAACCCGACTCAAGACTTATTAGAACTATATAAAAGTTTAGTTTATGAGCTACAACCATTATTAGCACATGACCGAAATTTCTCAGTTAAGAGATCCTGTACCACCTCCAAACCATGATTTGATAAGGATTGCGTAGAAGCCAAGAAAGCCCTTAACTTGGCATACCAGGAGTACAAAAGCAAGACTGGATATGGCAATAAAGCAATTCTTAAACAGTTACTTACACTTAAAAAACAATTCAAGCCATTGATTGCATTCAAGAATAGACAAGACACAAGGTCTTCCTGGAAACAACTCATTGTGGCAGCAATGCAAAAGAACTCCTCTTTATTTTGGCATCTAATAGCTTGCCACTCTGAAAGAATCTATACCCCATTAGACTGTCATATATCTCCTATAACCTGGGAACTCATTTTCGGAGAATATATGAAGATTCCTCCAGCAAGAGTACAAGGTCTATAATGAAGGATTTACCTTAGTGGCCTCCAGTTTCAGAGTCTGAAATTAAATCCCTCATTGGCCAACTCAGGATCAGGAAGGCTCCAGGAGCGGACTTCATTTTGGCCGAATTACTAAAGAATAATATGGAGTGGTGGATACCTGTCCTGGCAGCGCTATTCACTCTATTGACTCTACCGGCCATGTCCCAGAGGATTGGGGCTTGGCAATTGTGGTCCCAATTTATAAAAAGGGAAAGAGAGACAACCCTGCCAACTACAGACCAATAAATATAATCAGCAAACTCTATGCCAAACACCTTCAAGATAAATTAAAGGAGTGGCTGGATCTTGAAAACCTTATTGCCGAAGAATAAGTCGGGTTTAGAGAGGGGAGAGGCATCATAGATCAGTGCTTAGTTCTTCATCATTTGATTGAAAAATATGCATCAGATAGACCTGTATCATTATACACTGCCTTTATAGATCTTAAGGCAGTTTTTGACATGGTTACAAGGACTAAGCTATGGGAGAAGCTGGAAGCTGCCTCAATTGATCACAGACTCCTCCATCTGTTACATGCCTTACATACCAAAACATCCCTCAAGGTGAGGTGTAATATGCAAGGGTCTCTCTAGAGGTCAGTTGAAACTCAAAAGGGGGTTAAACAGGGGCGCATTTTGGCCCCCTTGCTCTTCAATTTTTACATAAATGATATGGTAAAATGGTTAAATAATCCAAATTACCACCCCCCCCATAAATAAGTGATTGAAGCATTGCTCTGCTGCTCTGTGCAGATGACACTGTGATTCCCTCCAGGACTCCAGTTGGCCTTAAAAGAGCCTTGCGAGCCCTTGTCCAGTATTGCAAATATAATAAATTATGAAAAAACAAAGGTTATGGCTTTTGCAAAAAGGCCAAAATGGTACTCATGGTATTTAAATAGCCACAAAATACAGCAGGTAACCACCTTTAAGTACCTAGGGGTGGTCATCCATGCCACTGGCTCACAAAAGGCCCATGGAGAATATGTGCTGCCTCTGGTCAACGATCAGTGAATGCCATTCTTAAATTTTTCCACACAAAGAGAGGACACTATGTTCCAGCTGCAATTAAGCTCTTTCTGGCCAAGTCGCTAGCACAGCTTCTCTAAGGGACCTTGCGCAGACCCTCAGCTTTGTGTTTTACACCACTGGAAAGAGTTAAATCCAAATTTATCAGAACAATTCTCCAGATGCCGTACTGTGTCCCAAATGCACTTCTGCGCCTGGAGACAGGATTGATAAAAGTCAAAGCAAGAATCTGTATAGTTTCTTTAAACATATGACTAAGGCTTAATTGCTTTCCGCAAGACCTTGCTCCATTAATCTTCAAGATAAATTCTCCTCTTCATGGATCAAGGCAGTCGAGTCCAACCTTGCCAAACTAGGCTTCTCGTCAGCCTCAATTCTCAAATTGGACTACGACCAAAACAAAACTTGCGTCAAAGGATAGAGAACATTGAGAGGCAAGCGGACTTAGGTATAACTCTGCTGTTTCTGGCTCCAGATATGTGGTTACACCTGCCAGGTATCTTAGTCAGTTGGAGTCAGTAAACCACCAGAAAGCATTCTTGCTTGCACGGTGCCATGCGTTTCTATCGGCTGGCCTGTACAGCAAGTATAAAAAGACATCATTGTCTGAAAGACTCTGCTCCTGTGGCTCAGGAGAGGTGAAGACCATTGGACACATACTCTGTTGTGTCCTGAGCCTGCAAAAGCAGGCTCGGGATGTTGCATTGGTCCCGGGCATTCCAAAAGTTGCCCGGGACCAGACAGAGCGGCGCCAGCCTTAGGCGCATGCGCAAGGCGCGAAAATGCTCTGTTCCTATTGGTTGACACTGTCCGGGTTTCTGGCCATATAAAAAGGCCTGCATGCCTTTTGCTTTTTGCTTCGTTGTTGTAGAAGGAGAATAAAGTGTTTGTTCAGCATCGCCATGTGTCTTCATTATTCGCACGCGAACGAAGGACTTAACATACTCCTTCGATGTTCCTTCTATACTAGAGCTATTCAGATAAACCATATCCTCCCCATAATTGATAGGTATCCTGGTTGTTCAGAAATTATTTATCTCCAGTGGCTGCTTAAGGATGAGCAGACAGTGATCATGGCGCAGGTGGCTAGATTCTGTGCAGCAGCATTGGGGATTCACCAGAAACATAAATAATTTCTCCACACTGTTGATTATATGTACAGACTTTCCTGCCAAATATATGTAGCCTAATATAGCGTTCTGATATTAAATCAAAGTTAGACAAAGAATCTCTGTAGTAGCAAATAGTAAAACAACCCAGACAGGAGATAATCAGCAGCAGTAGGTAAGTCAGTTGTGCATTTGTTTATGAGGTAAGTGGATTGCTGTTTTTCATTGTACAATTTTCTAGCCACAATATGCAGCCTCCCTGGCTTCTCACGCTTCACTTAAATCCTAGAAAACTCACTGGGCTTCTTGAGACTGGGAAATATGGGCAGGGAATTTTAGAGTGAAGGGGGGATGTTGACAGAGAATACTACTGCTACTATGCTCTGCCATCGACAACAGAATTTTGGAGAAATGCTCACGATTTAATTTAACTGCAAAGTACCAAAGATTGTTTGAATGATCTAGCTTTCATTGTATATTATCTCTGCTCTGTAATCTTTCTGTGTTCCAGGTAAACCTCAAGGGAAGACATCATAAGGCAGTTTCTCCTAACTTGTTTTTTCATAATGGTGTTATATTCAGCCCTAATAAGAAGTCTCATCTTTAGCAATTGATCGATAATTTTATGGGATAATTTATTCTTACTTCAGAAATTTGGAAAAATTGTCCATTCAGTTTTTTGGAGAATGTCTCAGATTCAGTGGAGAAAAGCTCATTTGTCACTAGCTATGGTTTCATAGTCAAATGAATTAACAATTGTCCAACTCTAGGAAAATATTCTGCACCTGATCCTAAACATTTTCCTTTCATGAATATCAGGCTCTGGGGATGACTTTGCTGCAAACATTCATAGTCATCAGTTGCACTGGAACGACAACAAATACACAGAAATATCTGGAGGCTCTTTAAAAACTGTAATCAGCATTCAATATTGGAAGATCTCACTTTCTCCATCAGGATCACATATGGAATTCCAGAATTGTCACAATGACCATCTGGAGAGCTTGCAGATTGAGGAATGCTGTTCTTAAAGATTTGGTTGATTGCTGCCCAAATGCATAACTCCTTGCTTATTATGCTTATTCTCCATCTACCAGGTATGCTTGTACTAGGTGTGATACAAAATGATTCATGAACGCTTGTGTGCCAGTCTACTTCACTGGGACCTTCAAGCAGCTAAAAACCATGGTAATGAGGGTAAGATGATTAATGCCCCTAAATTATTCTATGAGTTTTATTACTGATCGAAGATTTGAGTTTAGTCCTTCCTAGTCCAAGTCCAACATACTAGCCACTATACTATAATTTACAATTTATGATAGTATTTATGAGTTTTTATAAGACTTACTAATAAAAGATGAAATTCATTTTAAGTAGAATATTGTAGATATATTTATTACTTTTTAGCTGACCAGGTTTACATGATACAGAAAATAGTCTTAGAGCAATAACTCAAGTATCTTTTTTTAAAGTTGTGGACAGATCCTTTCTCATTCTGATTCAGAAGAAGAGAAATGATACAATAAATGTATCCTTTTAAATGTAAAATTTAAGCACATTAAAACATAATACGTTACCTATGTTTCTAAACTAATAAATTTTATAAATACATAAATGTAACAGAAAAGCCTTAAATGGCCAGGAATTAGAGTAATCCATAAACCTGAACCAAAGTTCAATGACTATTTAAGATGCAGAAGGTCTTTCCAGTTCAGATTCTCGTACTTTCAATAAAAATGGAAAAACTAAAAGTAGAGCCCCAAAGTATAAATGTAAGTACGTTCCCTATATTCTTAAACATTTTGAGAGTCAGATTTGATTTCTGAGACCCTTCTTGAACAAGTTGTTAAAATGATTTTACTTTAGCTGGATCTTTTATTCAGATCTGTTATATTAGTTATTTCAGCTTTCATCCCCTATTTTGAACACTTTTAATTTGTAATGATCATACAGTTATGAAATTGGAAGAAGGCCATGAAGCCCAGCCTCCTGCTTGCTGTAGAAATCCAATGCAAGCATCTGAGTCAGAGCAGCCCAACCTCCACTTGAATACACCCAGTAAAAAGGAACCAGACACCTCTCTTCTTCTGCTGGAAGTCCAAATCCAATGACACTGGTTCTTCAGGTTTTTCTTGATCTACGGCCCATGAAGGCACTATGATTATAATCAAGAAGGATTAACTCTATGTCCCCTCTTTGTCTATTGTTCTGCCTATTTTTGTCTAAGAAATTTCTAATCTAAGGTCATTTATTTCTGCCTTTTGTCTCAAACACATATACACAGAGTACATGTTCTTGGACTCCTTTTCTGACAAAATGTAGTTAGGTGGGGTTAGACTCTGTTTACAATAAAAAATAATCTCCTTTCTGTTATGATATAAAATATGATTCATAAATTATTGCTAAAGAGAGAAACTCTGGGGAACACTTACAATCACACACTGAAAGATTCAGCTTCCAACAAAATTGTTCTTACTATTCCTAACCTTCTATCACACTTTGCCTCCATATAATTTAAATACATTATTTTGTTTTCTGCACTCTACAACAAAAAAGAACAAAATTTGACCTTTATCTCTGTGACTATCATTCAGGTATTGGAAGAATATGTTATTATATCTCCCCTCAGTTATTTTTTTTTTAAGGTTAAACATAGCCAGCTCCTTCCATTTCTTTCACAGTTTCTAGTTATCTAATCATTCAGCTGCCTTTTTCTGAACTTGTTCCAATTTCTCTGAATCCTCCTTAAAGTGATTATTATTTGTAATTTACTTTAAATGTGGCTTTTCACTGATAGGAAAATGCTGTGTTAAAATAAATAAAACCTAATTTTCTCGGTTATCCCTGTTGCATGCTCCCCTTGTGGACAATCACTCTTTTTGGTTATGTTTTGCATCATAGTGAAAAAACTACCTTTATCTATGTCTATGGCCACAAGATAAACTGGCCGGGGCAGTGGGCTAACAAGATTAAAGCTAACAAGCATGATTGCACAGTCTCATTGAAGTATTCAATATCTGTCTATATTCATTGCAGAAATAGTATTAAGGAATATAAGTGGAATTTTATTCAGCAGAACTTAGTAACACCTAGACTGATTTGTCTGCAATTTGAAGCACAGAAGAATTCCTAGCACTACATTCAATTAAAACCACTTTTTTCTTCAATGTATAGACGCAAGTGTTAGCCATGCCTAAAAACCTCAACTGTTTAGATATATTAGTTGAAGTTCCCAAGTCTGTCATTAACTTTGTCTCAGAAGTGAAACATTACATTAAGATAAATACTGTGGGCAAGCAACATGGAACAATAAAAGTTGGAACAGTCTCATTTAACAAAACTATGACCTAATGTTTTGAAGAAAATTAAGTTGATATCCATGATCTTAAAAGGAGATTCTTAACAAAATATTCTTTTCTGGGTCTTTTGGACATTTCAGATAATGTGTAGGAAGGGCTTGGCTTTAAACTGTAGGCTATATATTGCTTCATTTGACATTGTTCTATAGACATGATTCTGTTTTGCTTTAATATTCATATAGTTGTAAATAGAGAGTTGGAAAAAAATCACTGCTGGAAATGTGAATGTTCTTATTCTATTATGCTGTAGACACATTACAGCATATTCCTTTGGCACACTTATGGCTTGAATATTGCTATATTACAGCTATCACCTTTGATTTGTTGATGTTTATTACCTTTTAAGTAAATGGCATGCTAGGAACACAGCCCCATATACTAGTATCCTTTGGATAACTGTCTAACCTTGCAAATGACAGACCTTTTTATAAATATCTCATTATCCAGAGGTTGCCCTTTTCCCAGTGTCACAGCTAATTAACTTCTAGGGATAATGATGGGAACTATTTTATTTCACCATCCCAAACATGGGCCCAAAAGGAATGAGTCTACCTGAATGAGCTGAGGAAGTCTCCCCTGCAGCCCCCACAGATCGAAGCACACAAAACAATTGGAGTATGTGCAAAAGGCATGACTAATGCTGGACAACCATTGTCTGAGCTCTGAGGCTTGTGATGGGCTCATTTACAACATCTAGTACAGGGAGAGGGGAGAACTTTTCTTGATTTTTTTTTTAAAAAACAGCTTGCCTTCAAAGAAAAGGATGTTTCCTTTAAGAGCAGGCAACAGTCTAGTAATCATCTGTAATACATTACTTCCTTTTTAAAAATGGGAGGGCACAGCTTTTAAATAACATTGCAATGCTTACTGGTATGATGCATAGTTTGAAACAGAAGTGCAAAAATATCCTCAGGCTGCAAAGTGTCAGGGAGAAAAACCTGTTAAAGAGAAACAAGAGACAACACACAACAACATTCTCACTTTAGGATCCAGAGGTTTATTTAAATTTGACACACAAATCCAGTGCTCACATTTCAACAATTTATTGCAATAAGGACAAAATGGACAAGCTGTCATTAAGTGTGATGGCTGAGCCAGGTGGCACCACCCAAATCTTTGAGGCAAGTTTTATACCTTTACAGTGTGCCCATCTCTAGCATTCTGGTACCACCCAATAGCCATCCCATTTCCCTCTCATTTCCCTTTTCTTGTTAAACACATCATCAAATGATTTTCTGAAAACACTTTTTGATACTTCCCTTTCTCAGAACCTTCCTTCCGGTCACCTCCCTATTCTTGGAACTGACTACTGAGTTAGTTCCTTATTCTTCTTCTATTGTCCTGATTATCGGACCACTTCCCTGTTCTTCCCTGTCCTTGTCCTAGCCACTATTTTCCTCACTACCATTCCTACACGTGTCATTGCAAAAGTTGTACCCATGAACAAGGCTCAGTTCCTCTCTTCTCTTACATTCTTGTCCTATGTTCTGTTTTTCTTAAGAAATGTATGCCAACCACAAACAGTCATTATTTCCTACCGAAGGTCAAGAGCAAGCAAAAGCCAAGTGCTTGTTAGCAAGTTCAAATCTGAACTATAATTAATTAGACAACTCATAAAATAGTTATCAATATATTATTCCTTTTACAAAAGAGTTTCTGAAAAGCAATAGCTATAACCCCCAAAATTGCCATCTGCTTGCATTTTTAATGTATCAGGAGGAGAAAATTATTAAATTCATGGGGACTAATTATAGTCACTGAATTTAATTAAATGCTAAATTTAAATCAAAACAATTGGATTGTTGTTATAACAATACCGATTTTGTATGAGATCCAATTACTTTGTGGAGCACAGTTCTTTGTGTTTTATCCAAAGCTATATGTCATTCCCAGCCTAAACAAAATTGGGTGCTCCTGGTTTAATGAAACTAGTGTTAGTGTTAGTGTATTCTTGTATACCTAAAAATATAGAAGCTCCGTGGAATGATATTTGGAGATGAACCTCTATTAGAATAGGGCTCATTCTAGGATAAACCTGGATTAAAACCAGAACTGTGCTTGTACATGTATTTTGATTGACATATTAATCTCCTTTAGAAACTTTAATAAGACAGAGATGGCTGCCTTCTACCAAATCATGTCATTTATCAATTTACCTCAGTGTTGTCTACTCTTACCAAAAGTAGCTTTTCAAATAGTGTCTTCCTAATCCAAGGTGAAATGTTAAGGGTTGAATCTGGGAGATTTGTATACAAAGCAATTGAGTCCACATCAAACAGAGAGACAAAAGATGCAACTGAATTATATCACTTTAATCAGAGATTAGAGGAGATAATGACAGCTTTCTCCTTCTCTCCATACTGGTATACTTACCAACTGGAAATGGTGGCTAATTCTTTGGAGAGAGAGAAGGCTGAAACATTTCTAGACAAGCTAGAGCATTGTGATGAAATAAATAGGATGGCATTTAACAGGGAGATATGCAAAATTGTGCAACTGGGTAGAAAAAATAAAAGTCATAAAACAGAGGAGACTTGACTGGGCAGTAGTATACTTAAAAAGGATCTGGATGTCCTTGTCAACCACAAATTAAACATAGGCCAGCAAAGTGAAACATCTGTTGATAAGATCAATATTATCTCGGGGTGCATTAATAGGAAACATAGATTCTGAATCACAGGAAGATCCTTATTTGGAATATGGTGTCTACACGCTACAGTTCAAAAAAAACAATGATAAATGGTAATAAGTGAAAGTAGAACTACCAAGATAATGAAAGGTCTGGAAACCAAGAGGAATGAACTAAGGATTTGGGCATCTTTTGACTACGAAAGAGACAAGGGGAGATGTGATAGCAATCTTCAAATACCTGAAGAATTATCACATAGAGGAAGCTGAACCTATTCTCTATTGCCCTGGAGAAGAGAACCAGAGCTAATGGGTTAAAACTACATGGAGGGTGATTCAAGCTAGATTTCAAAAGGACCTTCCTGACAACATGACTTGTAATGAAATATGATCCTGCATGAAGTGAGGAGTTTTTCTTCACAGGAGATCTCAAAGGTTTGATCTATTAACGATGCTCTAAAGCACAGGTTTCAAACCCAGAGCTGGGGTAGGCGTGGCCTCCGCATGATGCAACGGGCCCACAGGCTGGCAGTTTGACACCCCTGCTCTAAAGGATACAGTAGTAGAACACTAAATTATCTTTTTGATTCTATGAGTCATACAGATTTGCAACAGATAATCATCTGGGAATGTCTAATTTTGTTCTGTTTCTTTATCACATCCTACCACATCAGTTTCAAAAAACAAAATGTAATCAATATAAAAAATCAAAAATGATAAACAATAACTGCTAAAATACCATAGGCTGATATTAAAAATAAAAACAAAGAAATCAGTCAATCAGTTCTTTCAGAGGATTTGCTGTTATCACAATTAGACAGAAAGCTAGATTCAAATTCCAGCCATGATTGGGTTTGAAGTGTTCTTCTTTTTGTTTGGTAGGCTTTTTAAAATTTTACATTTTATCTTTATTTTAGAGAAATACAAATATAAGCAAAATACAATGATACATTAAAATACAAAATTAAATGAAACAATCTTTGAACTTAAGAAATGATAGAAACCAGAAAAAGAAAAGGGGGGAAAAATTAAAAACAAATCCCTACCTTATGTAGTAAATTTGTGGTTTACTAATAAAATACATAATACTATAGTATAATCAGGTAAAATATATTATTGTAAAATACCATAAAAACTCTCCCAGGGAGGAAGATATTGTTTCATCCTTTGATTAGAAGAAAATATTGCCTTTTCCAAGATGGATAAGTGTTATATTTCCAAGAACTATTCGTTAACATCTACAATAATACTGTAACACTTTTCCAATTTCTCATTATTATTTGTTTAATCATTCCCACCTCCTACACATGGGATTCCAAGTGTGGTTATATGGTAGATTTGTGTGTGGCCATTTTTTTTCATATATGCCACCTACTGAATTGATATCATCATTCAGTTATGCAATACATGCAATGCAATCTACCTTTTTCTAAGTTAATTTAAAGAGTACTCAGAGACTATAAGTACGTACAAATAGTTCTACGTTTCTTGCCCCAATGTGGATCAATTTACATTACTTGCACTGAACTCCAATTGCCATTTAGTCAATCAAATTCCCAGTTTAAAGTAAACTTTTTCAAAATCACTCTTTGCTGTATTAACCAGAATGTTTGGGAATCAAATAGCAGCATCCAGAGGTTGGAGAGGTGTAAAAAAGTTCAGAATTGTAGTCATGACATCCCACCCATTTGCACATACAGTGACACTGATACACATCCAAAAGGGATGAGGCACTGCAGTGGCTGCCATC